CCCTGAGTGCTGTGATTCCTGAGTCCGTTGCTGCCGCCCGCTTTCCGCATCAATAGACCTGCAAGTACTACTTGTGCCAATAAACCCCGTTTCACTTTGATCTTCAATGTAGGTGATGACTTCCGCATGCTCGAGTAATTTACAGGTACAAAGTCAATGAGATTGGACGATAATTAAGAGGAGAAGCACGATCTACCTATTTGAAGATGAGTATGTTTTTGGCTATGCACCAGTCATCAGGGATGCAACCGCTTGTTAGCGATTGGGAAAATAAGGCTGTTAACATTGAGCATATACTTTGCGAAGTGTTTCTTAATATTTTGTTATCAGAACCTGAATAGTTGAAACTAAATCACGTTTCAGGTTTCATTAGAAGAGATAAAGCACCAGGCTCACTGACGACAACCTCGTGCATAGTGATCCACTTCAATTGCCTGAATGTAGACAGTGAGTTTACATTTTCACAAGTGAAGACAATTACAAACGTGTCATTGAGAATTAGAGCGCATTGTGAGTCAGGTATGGAATCACCATTAGGGCTCATCTGACCGCTTATTGGGTTCACAACTTGCCAGAATCGACAAGGATCATTTTTTGAAAAGGGATGTCAAGTGATGAGAAAAAAAATTGCAACAAGTGGATTTAAGCAGTGCTCGATATTCCTTTTCGCGCGTCATGCATTTCGCATATATACTCGCTAATCCATTCAGTTTGGCCTGCCGGTACGGTTTTTTCTTTTTGTTATCAAGTCGCTGAAGCTGGTTCGTAAACCAGGGAAAAGCTACGTTTGCAGGTAATAGACATGAACATGTCACATGCTATGTAATGCCAAAACAGGAAGATGAAAGAGTGTTCTACACTCACCATCACGGCTACAGGCAGAACTCATTGACGCACCCACTTTCAAAGCATATATATACCCCATTAAGTGGATGGGGGGAAGGTAGCCCCCTTAGTAGCTCAGTTCATAGACCTTCAGTCCCTGCCCACGATGTGTCAACTTTTCATCCACTTTTCTTCGTACTTACGTTAGAATTACTTCTAATACCATTCCCTATACTTTCCTTGACGAGATTATCTTTTAGGTCACAATAGTATTGCACCTAACAAAGAAAAACAAGCCCTTGATTGTACATCCCTTCACATCTCTTTCATTTCATTCATATCTCTTCACATCTCTTTCACTTCATTTATACGAGAACACAGTGAGAAAGCGACTGCGTTAATTTAGTACGAAAACACTTCTAAAAAATTTCCCCTGGTGGTGATAAAGTAAGGTCAAAATAAGCTTTAAAAAAGGAGATAATTTCTCATTAGAACATTTTGTATAGTTCTTTGGTGCATGCACTGTGGTACGGTCATTGCGATTGGACCGCGATTCTTTGTTAACATGTCAGCCAGCCATAACAGACACAGGTCACCAGGTTTACTGGCGTGTTTTACAACCAGCGTTCTTGCAGTATTCATGTTGGCATAATCTGTAGATCCAGCTCTGTTTCTTTACAATGGAGGCAAGTAATTTACTTTTAAACCACTGTAAGTGTTGCATAATTAACACCTTTTGCAGATTTCGTTTGTTACACTACCCAGTGCTGGCTTGCGACTGCAGCGGTTGCGCTGCACGGGTGCAGTAAATGATGCATGGGAACTACTCTACACGTTAAGTTGCGTTACACCACTAACATACCTAACGTACCTGTTCACTTGAATTGGATGACCATTTGCGTTAAGATGGTTAACACTTTCATGACCGCACCTATCCCCCATCGATAGTACGCTTTTAAAGTTTTCCACTTCAATATTTGCCCCGTTCCGAGCACTAGTGGATATTGAAGCTATCTAACGTGTAAAAAAAGAAGTATTTCATCAGTTTTGTTTCTGTTTCTTTTTTTTCCCCCACGCAAAGATTTTAAAAAGCACCTTTCTATACGTGTAGGTTATCCTGCATAGTTTAAATGATGGCGTCGACATCGCGTGTGACCGCTCCACGAAAATGGCGAATTTCGGAAGATTCACCTGCATCTGGGCTGGAATCTTCACATGGCAGCACCAGCTCAGGCTCGGAAGACGCCATCAACACTTCTGACTTTAGCTCAGACGTACGACGAGAATTGAGCAAACCGCCCGGGAACATTAGTGGTCGTCCGCGGGTGAGTTTAGCTTAGTGCTCGGGCTGCTTTATCGCCAGCGCGCATCGGTATAAGTTGATCCGATCTGTTCTGAAGGTTAGAGATCATATTTGCAGGGTGTCCCCTTCCTTCAGGCGGTACCATTTGCCGGTGGCAGCGCAGAGAGTGCAGTTTCGTCTGTGGAGGCAGCCGGGAGTGAATCATGGTACTGTGCTCCGTAGTGCCGCACGGCACTTCGTGAGAGCTTGACTTTTTCTTTTTACTGCTGAAGCTATTGGAGAGCTATGCAGAAGCACAAATAAATATTCTTGGATGCATATTCTTGAGAAGCCCACCTCCACTGACAGGGATGGTTCTTAGAGGGAAGTTACCAAATAAGAAATGTTCAAGCTCATTTGGCTTCTAGTGTACATGAGAATCGTGCAAGTACCACGCCTGCATTGCTACTGGAGTACATGAAAATTATTTTCAAGACTCCTCCCTTCAAGTGTGATGCCCAGAAAAAGGTTCAAGGCATTGCTTGCCTTCCTGAGTGTCTCGAATTCAGAGATAACGACCGTCGCTTTGCATATGGCAAGCTTCACCGCATGTCTTCGTGGCTTCAGCATATCAACGATTCATCCACACTCTTTTTCCAACCGAGTTAAAACCCCTCCGTCGACGAGAGGATGGTAAAATCAACAGGAGGCTCTAGGATCCCGCAATATCTGTGGGATAAAGTGGTCAAAGGAGGTTACAAATTGTGGGTTTTTGTAGATTCAAAACGGGGTTCAATGTCTATACCGGTAAGCGAAAAGCTCTTGGCGTGCGTGGTTTGGCATTCGGTCGTGAAACTGCTTCACACGGTGGCATGAAGGACCCCACATGTAATATTATTCCGTGTACATCAAAACTTGTGCATTTGGAGCACTTGTTTTTAGAGGATAGCTGTGTGAGTTCCTTGTGTTTAAAACTTATATTTCGAATTTTTTTAAACTTTGCCTGCTAGAAGCAGTATTGATTGTTTCATAAATTTTTTTTTGTTTACGTTGCAATTCTTTTCATATGATAATTTTTTTCGTCATATTGTTAAAAAAACTTGTGGTTTCAAACTGACCTTGTTTGAAACTCAACACCTTGTTGTACAATTTGCTACCATAAACATTAACATCGAACACTTTGCGTGCCATAAAAAATTACCTTTCCTGGACTACCTATAAACAGCCAAATTTCTTGCAGTCACGAAAGTGTGAACTAATTGGAAACCAATATATTCTATAGTGGCCGAAAAATTTTTCGAACTCCAAAGATTCTAACTTTCTGGATATTTTGGGCTTCACTAATGCACCGTCAAGCTTCCCATTGCCCTAATGCAAGCTTCACAACTAATTTTTTGGACAATCTTATATTCCAATGTTTGATTTTCCGGACTAAACCGTTTGTTTTGAGCTAGGCAACTCGATTTTGAAAACAGCCATGTTGGATTTTTCGTTGGCTTGGTCGAGTTTGGCTTGCAGTGGCTAGTTGCATGGCCTCCAAGATTGAAAACGTGCACAATCCTCTAGTTTTGGAGGCCATGTGTGATCTTCTTTGGCTAGCAAAACAGCAAAACTTTTCTTTTCCTGTCAGCCTTATGAAGGTCATCAACACACCGGTATGTAGTTTTTATTTTTTGGGCGTTTGTTTTTCTGGTCGACATTGTGCACGTGGTCGTGTTGGTGGTGTGCCAAGTGTGAGCCGTCGTGTGCGTCATATGTTCGCTATTGTTGTCATGGTTGCTCCATGGCCAAATTACATGAATTGCGAAACTTGGAACGAAAAGTGTCGGAAACACATTGCCACAGGCCTCAACGCCCACCGACGATTGAAGCGCGACTAGGCGAGGAGGGGACAAACAACCAAAATTGAAAACTTTATATAATTGTTTCTTCAAATCGTCATTATATTATATATGTCAAAATTAGCCATAAACTTACTTTACTGTGTATCTCACACCTGGCTAAATGGTTGATTGCCTCAATTTTTCGTCAAGGCTATAAATGGGTAGGGGCGTATCCAGGCAGTTCGCCATCGGAGCTTGCGTTCATCGGTGTGTTTTTTGGTTCGGTGCATTTCCAGGTGAACGAGGCATCGTTCCCTTTACAGTGGTGGTTTCGTACGCATCTTAAGTAGCTAGTTTATTCATTTTTTATGTGCTGTTTACTGGTGCGACATTTCAGAGATCAACTAGCTCACACTATGTGCAGATAGCCGATCCTGTGACTGCTGACTGCTTTCGCTGGCACACGGCCAGAGTGCCCTCGATTTTGGTGACGATGAACGTGACAAAGCTGAACAACGAGACACTGTACCCTACGGCTGCCAAAGCTATATTTTCAAACCTGCTGTTTCGCTGCAGTGGTTTTCGAGGATTGGGCAACGTGACTTTTCGAACTATTATGCCGTTGTGCTCATGAACAGTTGTCTCACAATTGCTTCGGCCAAGTTTTTTTGTGCATATTGTCAGTGTGTTATTTGGCTAATAAAACAACTTTGCTTCCTCAGTCTTAATTTTTTATTGTTTCTTTTCTCTCCCACATGAGAGCCACAAGGTACAATAATGTTGCATATTAAGAACGGCACCTATGAAGTCAGCAATTAAGAGGAATTTCAGTTTTGCACCAAGTAAGGCAAATGTGTGACGTTACTACCGGCGTGGTTGTGACACCTGGCACATGAACAGCTGCCGTTATGCTGCTGGAAAGCTCAAATTCAGATACGTTGTCACCTTTTGAGGTGTTTACCAATTAAAGCTGTGCTGTTAAATGCTCGCACTGAATCAAACAGATATGTCAACCAGCCTAGTGCCACATGCATTTGACAAATTGAAAACATTCAGTTGTGCGTACTCACATCGAGGGGCATCAGGCGAACCAAGGCAGCAAAGCAGTGGGTGGCCATGAGCCGGACAGCTTCATCCTGATCGCTCATGCGGCCCAGAACAGGCACCACCAAGAACACCAGGTACGGCACAACGCCCAGGGACAGCCCTTCAATGACACCTGACAATACGTGCATCAAGGCCAACACCATACACCCACCATTTTATTGGGACAGTAATTATATGGGCACTCTCGGCTGATTTTGATCGTCCTTATAATTTCCCCGGATATGTATTTTTATGCATATATATGTTCAAATGAAACGCACAAAGAAAAATAAATCAGAAGAAAAAGTTCCACGGCAACCTAACAGGTATTCGAACTAGCGATCCCTCGCTCCTCAGCACGCTGTGTTAACCACTAGGCTGCCCTGCTCATACTGCCATATCACTAAAGGCAAGCTATGTATATACACCATTTACCACTGCCTTAATGTCAATGGACTTGAAAGAAACATTTTTGAACAAAGGATGTGTACTTCTTAAATGCAAAGCATTTCTTAGCGAACTTCGACGATTTTGAGCATGCGTGCCTGCCTTGCCTATAACAAAATTTTTGTGGCATAACATCACTGTATGACAAATATAGGTGGCTAGTCATAACAAGAAAATAATGACATGCATGTCATGAATGTAATGACTTACATGTCAGGATCTTGCTGCTCTGGTGGAGGTTTCCTTCACATGACATATCGCAAAGCTGGTATGGTATGACATGACTGCGTGGGGAACATAAGTGACGGGGCCCTAACGTGGAAACCACGACATGCGTGTCATGTAAGAACATGACTATATATGCTAAAGCTCATGATGCGCTTGCGGCCATTTCGCCAGCTTAACATATATAAAACTTGGTATTACATGACATGAACGGATGACGAAGGTAATGACACATTCTAACATGATAATCATGACATGTATGTCATGTAAAACATGACTACATGCTATGCTCATAGTGCGCTTGCGGCCCTTTCGCTAGCTTCACGCATACCAAATTGGGTGTTCCATGACGTGAATAGATTACGAAGGTATATGACTGGTGCAAATATGATAATCATGATATTCGTGTCATGAAGAAACTTGACTATATACCATGCCTACGATGCGCTCACGACCATTTCGCTAGCTTCACATATACCAAATTTGTTATTACGTGACGTGAATGGATGACGAACCCAAATGCCAGGCGCAAACGTGATAATCATGCCATGGAAGTCATGTATGGCATAATTTACATGTGTACCCCTGCTGGGGCTGTTATTGCAAACGTATTTGCGCGACTCTAACAACATACCGTATTTACTCATGTATTAAACCCACTCGCACATGAACCCATCCCCCACCTTGGTCCTTTGAAAAAAAACTTTTTTTAATGTATTTGTTCATTTTATTTCGACATAACAGCCAGTGCCAATGATGATCAATACAATGTTAAATGGAGCCTTTATACCACAAAATAACAATGCAATAAAAGTCAAAACATAGTTTAGCAACCATGCTAAACAGTTGCGAGCAGCGCGAGCGTAGACGACGTCAATCAAAATTTGAAAGTCGCGCCTTTTGCGGCAAAACGCCATCTGTCGAAAGCAGGAGAAACCTCTTTGCTGATAGCACCATGCAAGCACAGCGGCACAAAAACAAACTAAAACAGTGTGTTGCCTCCAAAATGGTGGGCTCACGGCATAAAAACAGACCATGCACCCGCCATCTTGAAGCCCATGTGAAGTGGAACCGCGACAACGGTGCGTCGTGCACCTGCAACTTCTACCGCAAGGTTTGTGTGCCACCATTAGATGCCGTGTTTTTGTTTGCGGGTTTGTCATTGTGAACTTTCTTAGGACACTTGCTGTGCAAGGTGCGTTCGGCCGGATCGCTAGCTACACGGCGAATTACAAACAGCATGCGCTGTAGCATGGGAACCAAGCGGCTGGACGACACCTCGGCATCGATTCACGTGCTTTCATTACGGGAGGCAGCAAAAAGAGCTTCTCACTACAAAAAAAAATTTTTGTGCATTTTTTGGGCCAGAACAAGCAAAGCCATTACACGAGATTTAAAGGTGGCTTCATTATGCGAGTAAATACGGTACTTGCATCTTGTCCAGATACCCGAGTACGCATAACATTTCCACTTGTGTTTACTGTGTACTACATCTATGTGCCTCGTAACGCTGTGGTGATTTTAAAGGAACATATGAACCTTCTGCAATTGTGCTTCGCATATCATCGATTCGAACTGTACGTGGGATTTGCCAATTTTTTTTTTGGACGAGCCATACAAGGTTTCCCTAAACATTGATGTGTGTGTTGGCTTGTTTAATGGAGGGGTGGATTCACTGAAGCACATACAGTTGGATAAAAGGGGAATTCCAAGACGCCTCTGGCTGCACTTTCACTCAGAAGCGACAGCGAAAATTGCTCGCATAAAGTCCAGGACTATTCGAGAAGTTGCTGGTCCTATCGTGCCTGTGCATTCGGTTCTCATCCTAATGCGCAGCGCCGTTATCACTTTAGACGGACAAACTCAACTCGCAACCCCAGACGACTTGTGGTAAAGTTTGCTCTATGAAAACATCGCCAGCTTCGTCGTTGCAACAGTGTGCATCTCACCAGGAACCTTGCAGACTGACATCATAAACTTCTTGATACACAACTTCCGTGCGGTGTGACTACAAAATGTGCCGGTGATAGTCACTGGAGAGTTCAACGCAAATGTACTTCGATGTGAAAAACAGTGGCTAGTTGCGTTTCTCGATGCTGAACTTGGACTTCGCCTCCTGTCGGACATCATGCAGACACCTACTCACAACACCACCTGCTTAGATACAGGGGTTACTGCATTACTGTCAATACGAGCACTACTGACCGTGTTCACTACATTTCCAAAATCTCCTAGCCATACGTCTTAAGACTGTCGACGTGTTGCTATTTCCCTCATTTCTTTGGCCTTGTGCCAGAACTGCAACTTTTTTGGAACCGCTTCAACAGCTGAGATGAGTATCAGCATCTCTCTTGCGGAACCAGGTGCAGGTTAACCCCATCAAAGCTTGCTAAAATAACCAACACAATAAAATTTCTGTGACAGCAAACAACTATCAATGCCCCATCAGCAGCCCATAAAAGATAACATGACAAAGCAGCCGCTCAATGAACCATATCTCTGGAGATATTGGTTTTAGCCACAGATAGCTTATGACAATGAACTCTGGTGCAATGTCAAGTTTTCCGTGTTTCTTAAGGTGCAATGGTGCCACATTATTGGTTACAACTAAGGGTGTTCAAATGCAGTAAACCCTCAGTATAACGAAGTCAGCAGGACAAAAAAAAATTCGCTATAAGCGGTAATTTGATATATGCGACTGCCCCGTAAAAGCTCAGCAAGTACAGCTTGATTAGCTATGACAACTTCGCAGAAGTGGTATTCAATGAAACAAACCTTTATTCATGCACAAAAAAAGTGTGTCAGCTGGCTTTGTCGGATGCTTCGGCTGGGCGCGAAGAGTGCCTGCTCCAGTTCGTTCAGGCTAATTACAAGGTCGTGGTTGCCGCCCGCACACTCCACTCTATTACACAACAGACAGAAGCTTTCCTGCATTTGTGCCACTGTTGATATTTCACGAGTCTGTTACTTTAGCGGCTCATCTTCCTTGTCGGGACCTTCAAGCAAGCCGACAATCGAAGTCCGCTAGTAGACCGGGGTTTCGCCACCTTCCCCAGTATCGGCAAAGGAAGCTTGTTGTCCCCCGTTGCGTTAGTCCGGAACAGCACTATCATCCGTTCACTGCTTTGTTTACATCCTGAGGAGGTTCCGCCCTGTGTAGTGCACGTGCGCTTTGGCAATAGTTTGTAAAAGAATACTGCCTCGTCCAAGTTGTAAATGTCTCTATCTTGAAATTAAACATTCCACAGAAGTCTGTCTGGTTGGGTATGAAACTGGGAGATGATTTACACTCAAACCAAAAGTTTGGAAGAAACCCGACGTTTCGGAATTGACTTGGTTCCTTCTTCAGGGGTGACTGCGGAGGCTACTAGCAGCGTTGTCTTCAAAGCACTCGCGGGTTGGCTAATGACCCCTCTCTCTAACTCTCTCTCTCGCTTGGTCGTGGATCGCAGTCAGTGTGAATACACTGGGGGAAGGGTTCTGAGAGAGCGGTTGATATTGCTACGCGCATGTGCATGGAGGTGAAGAAGACAAAGCAGATAGACTGGCGCGAGCTAATCTGTGTGGCTGGCGCTGCTCCCTTAACCGGCTGCAAATACATCGGTGACTACCCCCCGAGTCGGTCTCCTTCTTGTAACATATTTGGTGGAGTTCTGCGATCCCCGTCCTCGCCACTGAACTCCGAAGTGGACGCTCCCTCGCGGCTTACAACATGACCACTCAAGACTCGGCTACATCCTCTCCAGTCGCCCGCCCTTCTGCCCGGCCTGTAAACCAGGCGCCCGCAACAACTTTCGTGATGCTTCCCGTGCTCAAAGACCCCGGCGTGTTTTCGAGCAGGGAGGGTTCCGACGTCGACCAGTGGCTACACTTCAACGAACGCGCCAGCGCCACTTACAGGTGGGATTCCACTTTTATGCTCGCAAACGTCATCTTTTATCTCGACAGAACCTCTCGTGTTTGGTTTGAGAACCACGAGCATGACATAACAAGCTGGGACAGCTTCAAGGAAAAGATCTGTGAGCTTTTTGGCAACATCTCTGGTCATCGTGAAGCTGCGAAAAATGAGTTGTCGACTCGTGCACAATCTTCCACGGAACCCTACATCGGTTACATTCAGGCTGTCCTCTCACTATGCCGCCATGCTAATGAAAACATGTCGGAACCAGAAAAAATTGCAAAGGGTATTGCCAACGATGCGTTCAACTTGTTGGTATTCAACAATGTATCATCTGTTGATTTGATCATTCAAGAATGCCGCCGGTTCCAACAAGCTAAAAGCAGGCGCATCTCCCATCAGTTGCAGCGCCTTCCGAACACCACTGCCACGTCCTCGTGTCTCGACACATATTGTCACGCGCTTGTCAAAAAGAAAGACAATGGCAGTTGTGCATGTGCCATGAAGTACAAAGAAATGGATGAAAAATAAATCTCTTTCGCGTTTTATTAAAAGAACCGACC